CTAGTTCCATTGTATATGCTTATCTCAGTTTTTTTATCTATTTAATTTACAAATCAGTATCAAATCAGTATCAGGTCCAGGTGTCTAAAATTTGAGCTTCTGTCTTCTTCAAGTGTCTAATTACAGAGTTTTCAAACATGCAAAGTGGGCATAGACTAGCATAACAGAGAGAGATTAAAAAAGTAAAGAAAAACATTACTAGAAAAGTTATAAAACGGTACAGACGTTGCTCTTTTTTGAAAACTAAAACAGTAGCTTCTCAGATTTTAAATAATGAGAACAGGCTTTCGAAGAGCGAGAAAATAATTAAAAGAAAAGGAAAAGGGAAAAAGAGAGATTTGGTGGTACGTTTCAAATCATGAAAATCAAGAGTAAATATGGTATTTTAATTTTCAAAATCAGAAAAAAAGGAAGTTGAAAAATTAACTGAAGCTAGCTTTTCTGTCACGTTGACCAGAACAGGTGCAAAAAAGTGGCAATAAGCGCTTGCCTGGGAGGATTTGAAGCAGTTTTAGGTCTTAAAGCTGTGCACCTGTGTGCCTGGGCGTGCACCTTCACAACATTGGTTAATTATCCTACACTTACGAGTTCTACCAAGTGCAAAAAGCGGATAACTGATGTCTTATATGAACAGAAGCTCCTACTGGCATGCAGAAAGAAGTGAAAAAACTGGAATAACAAATCAAGAGTTTAGTTATACGCACTGAACGAGTGCAAACAATATTTGACTGTGCTTTGAGGGTTTCAATGTCACATTCCAGTTGCTGTTTCCAGTCCAAAAGCAAAGCTTCATCCTGACATGATCCAGAAATATTAAAATAAATATTTCAGCACTCTTAACAGGAAAACAAATTCAGAAATGGACATAAACATACCTGAGGCAATTGGATTGTCACTTTGTTAGGGAAAAGCCGAGAAACTTGTTTCATGGTTTTAGGTGTTTCCTTGCTCCTATCATGAAGTCTACCAAAATTATCCTGCAGAAAGAATGATGTTTGCATTAGGTGTGTTATATAGAAGGGGGAAAAAAGGTGGAGGCAAATACTAGATCAGAATGCACAAAGGATGTCATGGCAACACATTTGAGGACACTCATCGGGAACATAATTACTTAAACCCGAAACACTATCCAATATAATGGCATGGGCATTAAGTCATGCCAAATTCAAGTAAGGATCATACCCAAAACATTTAACAATGGTAATTATGCCACAGTTCGAGAGAAGTTAAGAGCATTCAGATTGAAAGTATAAACATTGAAATACTAGCAAACAGTCAGACATGGTCCTTCCAAAAGTTAACACAACTAGAGAGTTAGAAACCACCAAGACAGTAAATTTAACAAAGAAATTTAGACAGCAGTATAAAACTCAACACGGCCCATTAAAATAATCCAACATCTTTCAAGAAATATAAGGCAAAAGAAAGGGGCTGTTGCTTGACATACTGGAAATGCAAGATCAAGTAAGGCACTCTGATTGGATCCAAATTTTGTGAATAAGAGGCCGCTGGGATGAGACTGGAGAAAAAACAAAATTGCAGATATTAAAAAGTTAAAATACTTCACACAGCATTTTTTTTTTATAAGAAAGGGAGGCCTCGTTAAAAACCCCCTTCATAACCGTCAAGAACCGTGGGGTATCTCGACGGCCATTGGAAGGAGGATACTTACTTTCTCCTTGCGATTATCCATCTGGGTATGAGAACCAATCATGACAACATTAGCTGGCAAATTCTCAACCTTACTCTTAAGGGAAGCATATGCATCTGTATTTCCAGCCATGGACTTCTCTATTTCTTTCACAAACAATATCAAGGGACTATTCTTGCTTTCATTCACTGCAACCTATAAAAATGAGTAAGTTGAGAACTTAATGCTTATAAATCTGAACAACATAAAGCAAAAGCTCTGATGCCTTAATCAAAATGACTTACCTCAAAAAGTTCATTAACAGCTAGCTTGTCAACATCATCACCTCCAGAACTATCCAAACGAAGTGAGCTAGCTATAGATTGAAAACATGAGTAAGGTTAGATAAAGAGTCCACAATGTATCATAAAAGATGTTTGAAATGAAATCAATGCAAGAAATGGGCTAAAGTGATCACCAGAACAGAAGAAACCATGATCTTCTTCACAGAGCCCACCAAGGTTGTTTCCCTCGGGAATAGATCTGTCAAATCTGACCCCAATTTTTGAAGAACCATTTTCTTCAAAAGCAAGGAGAACTTTGCCACGAAAACCAATTGTTGGCCCCCTACAAAGAATACAAATATTATACTACTTGTCCTTATTACAAAACATAATCGAAAAGAACTAATTAAATCCATCGCTTGAAAAAATGGCATATTCTATCTACCATCCCAACACTAGCAGCAAATCCTTAAAACAAATATGAACATGCAAGTTGATTGGCAATTGTATAAAGGACTGCAGTCAGATTGGGTCTCAATTATAAGCTAACATGGACAGCTCCAAAATAAGATAAAACTCCATATTTCATTTTGAACTATATTAAAAAAGGTACTAGGTACTTGCTATGAAAGAGAAAACGCCCTTATTGCTAGCTAAATTGAGTAGAAGATACCTTAAAGCAGGTTGTAGAGAGGAAAGTCCAGATGGTGATGTGGCACCTACAAACTTAACTCTATCACCTGACGGTTTTAAATTAAGCAATTTTAGATCACCAAATTAACTGCTGAGAAAACTATGGAATTACACAATAACAAAGCTAAATCTTTCATCTCAAGGAAGTGAAATACCTTTCTTAAATGTATAGTTTTTGGAAGTTGCAGTATATATTTCCTTCTTTGGAAAAGCCTGGGAGCTCAGTGAAGAACCACCTGTTATATCAGCTTCGACACTAGAAGTTGATCTCTTCTGCTGCAAAGCAGCAGCCTGTGCAGCTCTTTTGGCATATACATAAGCCCTCTCCGCCCTTGAAGGTTCTTTCACAGGATCAGCTTCTTTTGATGTTGATCCCTGGGTACATTGGGGAGAAAATAATTGAAGATAGATGCCGCAAAAAAAGTTCAGACATTTAGAAATTCAAAACAATAAAGAAATTTGTGAATCCAGAAAACAAGACTCAGAAGTCAGAACAAACATCTTGCTTTCGCAACATGATATCGACAAAGAATCAAAACAAGCTGAGAGGTGAAAAGAAGCATACTCCAGGTAACAGAAAAGAATCAACAATCAGCAATCTAGCACCAAAATGTTTAGCAAGTGCCTTTGCCAAAGTCTCCTGATATATTTCTGAACCTATACATATTCAAAGACGATTAAAAACTCAGATCAAATAAACATTGTTTACAGAGCCAATTTACAGAAAAAGCAGTCATACCTGAAGGACCAGATAACAGTATACGAGGGCTCATGGTAGGAAGATCTGAAGCATACTTTACAAATTTATTACACTTCAAATGCACATAAGTTGAGGCTATCAAAACTTTCTTTGTGGTATCACTGTTACAATGGAAATTTTCAAGTAAAATTAATAAAATTTCCCCAACACTCCAAATCTGGTAAATAGGCAGTGAATTAGGTAATAACATAAACAGTGACATGAATAATTACGATTAGCACACAAAATTCTATGCTCTGCAACATGCAATGTTGGGTGGTCAACATTCACCACATATGGACTTGCAAAATTGTAAAACTGGATTAGAAAAACAAGTAAAAGTAATAATACAAATTAGGTTTCCCAAGATATAAACACAAGGAATGATAACAATAAACTTCTGAATAAGACGAAAGTGCCAAACCCAATTCAGAGCAAAAGCACAAAAGTTACCTCAAATAATATGGAAAATTTTCAAATGAGACATCTATATTGTCCGGATTGTGAATGCCTTCCTGTAAACTATCTTTAAACGCTTTCCGTTTAGTTGTTATCAAAGCGGAAGGAGGCTCAAATTCCTTGAGCATCTCTCTAATTTCCCTTCGCTCATCAATAATTTTAGTAATGCTCCCACTAAAATCAAAGTCAGTAGATGTACCAGCAAGAATACGCAATAATGGCCTTAAAGAGTAGCCTGCCCCAGGGATCTTTGTATTGTCAGCATCCATAATATCATCCAATCCAAGTCTATCAAGATTAGAGTTTTCAGTGGCTGCATCAGGTGTGGGAGGAACAGTTTTCTCCCTTGAAGGTTCAGTTGCTGGATCAGTATTACTAGCCCTATCCTTCATATCCACTTCTGGTACACGTTCATCTGACATCTCACAGCCAGAAGGTAAAGTAAACATCTCTGAATTTTCTTTTGTTGACAAAGAAGCCAATATTGTTGCCGCCCCAGCAACAGCCGATGAGTCACCTGATCTTGCTTCAATAATCCCTTTTATAGGGGCAGTCTGAGCTTCTAAAACACTTAAAGAAGGTATGCCTGGGGCAGCTAAGTTATCATTGGTGAGCTGCTGAAAAATCTATGTTTCCATTAAGGAATTAAAAGGTTAGATGGAGCAAACATAAAAAAGTCAACGTTGAATAATGAAACATGCTGGAAGACAGTACCACACAGATTCTCATTTGGGAGAGAAGAGTATCAAAATTTGTAAAAACAGTAAAAAAGGATACATAAGCATGATTCCCTGTACTAGTGAAAATCAATTCGTCGCCTGCATTTAGGATTAAACTAGCATTTTTCCGGTAAGTCTTCCCATTAACCTGGACAGAGCCTTTTCCACCTGTAATTTCTAGTAATGCAATTGAACTTCCATCACTCTACATTGGGGAAAAGAAGAAAATCATCACCCTCATAAACACATGAAAATTGAACAATTATGAGAAAATGATTTCTGAAGATTCATACCTCTACATGTTTCACTTTGCACAAAACAGTGCTAATATTGGGATCTTTAAGACATAAATTACACTGGCGACTTTGGCCGACGGTGAATATAGTGCCACACATGACCACATGAGGGTTCTGGGGATGAATTGAACATTAATAAGAATCAGGAGCATAGGAATTTAGCATTAAATGACCATAAAAAATCAAAATCCGTATAAAGAGGCAAAACGGCTAGCTACTTAGTTAGTGGTACACCAAGTAAAAGATTGGCACCTAGGCATTCAAGCAGAATGACTAAAGATCACATCTCCATGACTATATAGCCAATGTATTAAACAATACAATGACAATAAACACCTTTGGCAGATACCCAAAAGGGAAATGAAAGATGATTGTTTACCAAGAAAAATAAAATTTTACTACAATCTTTTTGACTTGAAAAGAGTGTAAACATATTGCACGTTCATACATTCCATTTTTTTAGAAGAAAATGACAAATCAAAATAGAACTCAATACAAAAGCAGGCAAACATACTGAGCCAAGCTAAAAGTAGTTTTCCTTCAGATTTCCCAATGTAACAATAACATCTTGCACGGGGATTCTTCCAACTGAATATGTACAAATAAGAATATTTCCACTGAAAAAATTCAATCTAACAACAGAAACTGCTCTCTCAGATTCCCAATTTTTCTCTGATGGAAAACTTCCATTGAACTAGCAAGACTAAACCAATAGAGTTCCCAATGGATCTAATGGACCTAAAGGGAATTAACTGCAAGGTTAGACCACTGTCCTCGGAACCCAAACATAATTGTCAACTTAACAGCTTGTTTGGTAAAGTTTTCCAGGATATCAAGTATACATCCAATTCACCTAAATGACTAGAGATCTTCTGTCTAATGAATAAAATCCAATGCATTTGAGTTAAGGTCTTTTAAAAAAGGATTTCAGGTTGACCTGTACTGTTATGAATTCCAAGATTCCCTGATTGGAACCGAATTACTCACAAATTATGTAATAAGATTTCATTAGCATCCAAAATTCACGAGCGCAAGGTTTTATAATCCTTCAGCCATAAACAGTTCTTTGAACAAAAACCATATTTTTTTATAATTTCCCTTTAGTGGCTGAAAGACCAAGAACTACAGTATGTATTCCTAATCTTAACCTATTTAACACAGAGAAAATGAACCAGACGGCCTGTTCATACCAATAATAATGCAATTTCGGAGAACATACCTGAGAATATTGAGAAAGAAGCTTTCCCCACGGAGCTTTAGAACCTGATTTAGCAGGTTTTGTTGGCTTTTTCTTAACCCGAACGGTAAACCCTGCAGCAACCACCTTCGCGTTTTCCGCATCCATAGCAGATTCACCTATGTAACCAACGGTACAGAATCAAAACCCCATTAAAATCTCACAAATAACCCTGCAGAAAGATCAGAACCCCATAAAGACAATTGAGAAAACGATCGAGGATAGCACCTAGAGACAGCGGAGACACCAAAGCACCGTTGTCCACATCAACACCAACAGACTTATCAGGGACAGGCGCATCAATGGCCTTATCCGCATCAGATACCGGCAGATCAGAAGATAGAAGCTCCGTTACCCGTGAGTCCAAACCGTATTCCTTCGCCGGACCTATAGCTTGGTTCAGCGGCCCAGTCACCGCCGCTTCATTGGTGAACGAGAACGCCGGCTCCGATGCCTAAAGAGAAAAATAAAATCAGTCGCAGATTCAAATCTAAAGAGGAAACAAAAGGATTTCAACACGCATGAAGCTTGAAAACCCTAAAGAATTAAAAAACGGATTATCAGAAAGGGGAAACAAAGCTAAGACCTTGGATCGTTTACTAGAGGTAGGAAGCGATGTAGCGGGAGAGGAAAGGGGTCGTTTGGAAGAGGAAGAGCTCCGTCTCGTTTCGACCATCGCGTGGCTGAAAGAAGGAAAAGAAGGGAGCTTTGAGGGGTTATTCACTCTGGGTTTTCTCTGATTCAAAAAAAAGGAACGACCTTTGAGTCTATGGAGGTATATGAAAGGAAGAGAGAGAATCAGAGAGGAAAAGAAAATGGTTGCGGAGAGATCAGTTACCAACGTACCCGATTATTAATTTTATTTTATTTTTTCAGAAAACGGTGAAATTGGGCTGTATATGGTTGGTGAGGGATAAAAGGAATCATTAAAAAATACAATCTAATACGTGTAAATTTTATTTTATATAAATAATATTTATTTTAGATTGTAAGAAGAAAGTTGGTAAAAGAATTATTGTAATATTTATTTTATATAAATAATATTTATTTTAGAAGTAGTTTGAACACCAACGATTATATAGATGATTAAATGATTATCGTCAAATAGTTGAAAGTATTTAAAACATATATTATTTTGTATATAATATTAAAATCTTATATTTTAAGTTTTAAAATTAAATTAAATAATTTATATTAAATTAAATAATATTTATTTTTAAGATAATATATATAAGTTATAATTTTATATTAAAAATAATTACATTTAAGTCAATAATATATTAATGCTTTCAACTAAGTTAATCCTTAATTAATAGTCTCTCTACTTTTCATTTCAATATTTTTTGCATAAATTAATTTTAATGATTTTATTCAATATTATTTTTTATTTAATAATTTATGTTTAATGGATAAGAATTATGTCTAAGTTTTCTTGAAATAAATTTATTCACATTGTCAGCTTAAAACCTATTGAAAAAATTTATAACGCTCGTCGGGTGTGGATGAGCACCGTCAATGATAAACACTATTAAAATAAGAGAAAATAACCTCAGTGACCGAAAATTCCTTATAATATACGATTTTGACCAACTTTTTTTCGATTTGCCAAAATGACCAACAAAATCGCAATGCGATCTTTAAATCGCAATGCGATCTCCAGTATCGCAAATCAGTTTCCAGATTCGCAACGCGATTTTGACTATCGCATTGCGATTTTCCAAATTCTCATTGCGATTTTAGAAAATTGCAATGCGAATATGTAAATCACAACGCGATTCTGACTGTCGCAACGCTGAATTTCAAATTCGCAACAGGTTTTAGTTTCGCAACACAAATGTTTTGGGTATATAACTACGCAGCAACAGCAACTCATAACCTAAATCCCTAAATCGCAACTCATTCCATCTCCATCTATCACTCTCTCCGGCGAGACCCGTTCCTATATCCAACGACATCCTTCCCCATCCGATAACAGGTTTTAGTTTCATAGCTCGTTTGTTTAGTAAATTAATTTACAATTGTAGACACTATATTTCATCCTAAATATGTGATTATATAATGTATATATATTATAATGTATATATATGTTATTTACACATTTTTATTCTTCTTGCTACAGACCCAATACAATGGCCCAATAATGCTCCATTTCACATAGGCAGCCCAAGAGAACTCCAAGCCCAGTACAGCTACCCAATAACACGCGACCCGAACCCGGATCCAGGACCTTCTCCAAGCTGACCCGCATTAGCGTCGCATCCTTTGCTTCAGCCGATCCTCTCGCCCAAGCGCCATTTATCCAAACCCGAGTCTACCGCCGATCTTCACGGCGCCATCAACGATGTGGTTCCACGAGACTCCTCCAGAACCAACGAAACAAGAATTAGAGTTCGATTAGAACTCTATTTGCCCTAAAATAGTAAATTAATTTACTATAAATATTACGTGTAACACCATTTGCAAGGGAGGAGGAGAAGCAAAAATCCACGATTATACACTGGAGACAATACCCACGAAATACCCACACGATTAGATAGTGGATTGACACGAGTATTCACAGGAAAATACCTGAGGAAATACGAGAGAAAACTAAGGGATTTGGGGTCTCAAACAAGAAACGAGAGAAGCTCTCCCGGATCGTAAACCAAACAGAGATCCAATCAAGTCGATAAAGCGTGTAGACCATGTGGTAGCAACTTCAACACAGAATCGGAAATAACACAAACTGCCAATCTCGATTACAACAGTATCATCGTGGAGAGTCATCCACAACTGGATGGAACCAGCGAAAGTGGGAACAGAGAGTTATCCTGCTTTTATGGTTTGTCATAATGCTTGGACTTTGAGTAAGGCTCATGCTTTTTTATTTAATATTTTCCACTGATTGATTTGAAAGCACGTGGCCTCCATGCAGTTGATTTCCTTTTCTTAAACTTTGGTTTATATGCCATTAATTAGTGTAGTTAAAACATTGGATTAAAGGCCTCCTTATATTTATAATTAGGTGCCGTGTGTATCCTAACTTACTAACTTGGAGTAAATATGGCCATTAATCACCATTAAATCATATTTTAACTAAAGTAGCAATAATGGTATTAATTTGATTAATTCGGACATTAGTTGTTTTAATGGAGATAGTAACTAAAAGAATCATTCTTATGTTTGATTAATAAATTGATTAGAATTCTTCAAACAATTTGTTATTTGATTAATTCATTTGTTAGGTTAGACAATTAGTATTATTATTTCTATCATTTTATTTTATTTTATTTTATTATTCAATTAATATTTTTTACTCGATATTTTTCTTATTTACCATCTAACATTTTTGATTTTCTAGTAATAATTTTAATCGATCAGAGCTAAGCAATTCGAATCGGGTTTTTAAATTCTAATTTTCGCAATTAAAGACAACCGATAAATTAATTGGTACCGAAAGAGCGATTCAAGGGTGCTAATCCTTCATTGACCGTAACCGACTCCCGAACTCGACGTTTCTGGTACAACGCATATCAGGTAAGATGGTGTCCGACCCACCTAATTTCGTTTTAAAATGGTCGGTGGCGACTCCAATCCACATTTTCCAAGTCGAAGCCCAATTCCAGGGTCCAACCGAAAGACGGTTCCGACAGCTTGGCGACTCCGCTGGGGACAGGTAAGTGAGTCAGGCCAGAATTAATTTTCGGTTGTCTTTTTGTGCGAAAATTGTAAATTTTAATTTATTTATTCGATTCCATTTATTTACCTTTGATTATCTTTCAAGTAAATAGTTGTACTGACATTTTTTTTCAATGATTTCAAATCTTTAAAAGTTTCTATCTCTGGCTCTATACCCGAGCTCCGAACCCTTTTAAGTGGGGGCGAAAGCGACGCCTTCGTGTGAATTTATTCACCGTATGGGCCTAACAAGTAACCTTCGGGATTCATATACCTTATGCCTTCGTGTGAATTTATTCTCCGTATGGGCATAAGAGAATGTTTCCTCTCGAGTTTAACTTAGTCCACATAAGCTTGTAATGGGCTTAGGACTAAGGGTCTGGTAAGCCCAAGGGGGCACCAGCAAGGATAACTCGGGTACCTCTTTAGAACCTAAACCGGGAGAGTGCATGGAATTAGAGCTCACCCCAAGACCTCATTCCAAACCCTAGGATGCTTTGTTTCCTGCTTTATTTTATGTTCAAAGCATGTGAACTAGACAAATATGCGGCTAGGATTTGTTTGAAATTAGCAGGCGAGATAGAAATCATGTCTGTGTAGGAATATTAAGCATGTTTGGGTAGATTATCATATGGGGTATGACTTTTTATTTTTATCATTTTTTTATTATTATCCTTATCTCATTAACTTTTTTTCCTCCATTTCATTTTTATTCTTTGGCATTTTTTTTATCATTCGCATCATTTAAAACGAGGTGTTGATCCACCAAAAATGTGTTTGTTAAACATGAATAATCTGCATTAATGGACAAAGGGATCATAATACAAAGAGATAAAAAGCACAGAAGCCTAGCCGTAGTCAAAAGAATACTCGGAGGCAAAGGGTGCAGGGGCAAGACGAGGAAAATGTTACTGACCCGGAGAGTCCTTTCGAAAACTGCGAGATCAAGATGGCGAAACCCTAGCTAAGCTGGAGATCATTATTGATAAATTCTAGAAACAAGTCGATAAACTTTGGGTGGAGGGCTTCGATGGCACTTTCGTTTGGAACAAGCTCGACATAGAGTGAAAGCCGACGATGCAGTCCTTCGAGACCTTTTGGGGGCAAGCAGCTCGTTATTTGCATATTTTAGCCAAAGGAGCCGGAACGATTTGACAGGGTATTCAACCAGTGACAAACGAAGGCAGAAGACTAGTCAACCTATCAGAAGTTGTTCGGGGTCTATGCCTTCAAAATATTTTTGTCTTTTAAGACGTAACACTTTTGCCCCAATAAGGATTATTTATAA